GGCGGGGGGGGATCTTTCTAAAGAGTATTAAAATGAGACAACAGAACTTTGAGAGAGTAAGAGTTTAAACCAAAATGCAGAACTTCAAAATATATTGTGCTAATAAACAAAAATGAAGAAGAGAATGTACAAGAGAAGACAACCAAATATAACACAAACTGAAATGTGAATGAACGTCTTTGAATAGAAAAAAATCGTAATTTAAAGATACTGAACAAACAATGAATGCAAAGGTAGAAATATGGCTAAAAACTAGAAAAGATTAGAAAGTCCAAAACCCAGACCAGAAATCTTGCATTACACATTTAAATTATGTGAATATCAATTCAAACTATATACACACGGGCGTGTACGTAATTGTTTTGATTGATGCAGGAGTTCTGGTCGAGGGCGGGGTATCCAATGAACGTTTCTGGGTATCCGGATAAATAAATTCTTTGTTGGAATTCAACAGCTTTTATTCATCAGAAATTCAACTAGCTAATATAAAATATATTTTATTTCTTAAAAATGAAAAAAGTGGGTTAATTGCCAGAAATTGAAGGATAGATAGGAGACCAAATAAATTAGGAAAAGATTATGCCAACAAGAAATTGATGGTATTGAGGAATGCTCAGCATCCATTGGTTCCTAAGTTGGAATGTGTGTGTTTGTGTGTGTGAGAGAGAGGGAGAGATGTACCGGGTCTTGAGGACCCCTGAAAATGCGAGGGGCCATGGGCCTTTAAGGTTTGACAGATAGTATTCGCCAGTGCAAAGTTTTGTATCATCTTCGCATTTCTTGCATGGCATTCTTCTCCACCTGCATATACTCTCTCTCTCTCTCTCTCTCTCTGACTTATGTCTCAAGAATCGACAAAAATAAAACAACATATAAGTCTATAATAATAAGACACAACTCATTTCAAACTTTAAAATCAACTCTCTCAATTTCGAAATAGAAGACGTCTTAAATTTAATTCAAATTTTGATACACAATTTAGATTTTATTTAAATCCATTTAATTAAATTCAATGACTCACAATTCATTTCACTTAAAACCCAAGTCTTGCCCAAACTCACTGCAGGTCTAGCATGCACTGTGATGCCCTTAAGATTGTGGGTCCTTTTTCAACCGTTAATCACCCGTCAACTCGTGGAAGTATCCATGATTGTCGCACAATCTGACATCACGTCAATAACATTCTTTTAACTAGAATCATCATCCATACGTGTAACCCGTGTACATTATACCATTTGACCAACCAAGATCCAATATACCATTATTTATCCTTATTTTATGTCCATTTATATCTTTGAAACTAAAAAAATCAAAGTTCAAAAGTATGGCAAAACAGTTTTAAAATTTCAAATTTTTGGAGAACCTACTGGTAGATTTTGCCCACTGAAAAATTCCTACTGGTAGGTTTTGTCTAACAACAAAATTTATGAGTATATAAGATCCTATCGGTAGGTGTTGCCCATTGGACAACGATCTACCGGTAGGTCCTACCTATAGGTTTTGTTCAGTTTTGTCTGTTTCACGTGTTTTTCATTTCCAATTCATTCAAAAACATATCATTTCCATCCAACACTTGTATAATTAAAGACTTTCATATTACACAAGGTCCATACACAATTTTAATACATTAATTCCATGAATTTATATATCAAAACAAGGTTTTCATAATCATTTATAAAAACTCAAAATTAAAGCCACATCCCAGCTTTTTTCATCCTTGAGGTCCCATGTGAGGGCCTTCCATCGGAGCATATCTCACACCTGAAATATTTTCCCGTATAGGATGAACCACGCCCAATAGAGTATTTCCTATAGGGGCTACTCCCCAACCTAGATGCATATAAAATGTTCACATGCAACACATAACAAGCAACAACTATTCCAACCAAGATTAAACAAGTCTAAGTTGGAATCAAACATGTTATGCCATGATATGAGGTGATACTCACTTATGCAACTCAATTCGAGCCCTCCCTAGCTCCTTCTCCCCCATGCAATGTCATGAGTATAAAATTGGGCTTTCCAAGCCCCCGTCATTGGTGTTACACACCCAATGACTATTTTAAATAAAATCCTCGGGTCTTTTTATTGGAGTGGGTATTTATGGACTTACACCAATGACACTCTCAATCAACATGGAATTCATAGACTTCCACCAACGGTTCTATGTACACCGACACACTTTATGGGCTCTTATATCAATGGAGTGCATATCTGATCACCGGGTTTCTCATCCGAGGGATAGTCTAGCCCTTCTTACTAACCCCGACCTAATTCTTTTTCCTCACAACCATGCGACTCAGTCGAATCTTCGATCCAACTTTCCCAATCCCACCCATCATCCACCTACGTGGTGTTTGATGTCAACCATGCACATACACACCCACACTCATGGCGATGGATGCGGTTCCTCCTTGCAAATGCAATGTAATGCGTCATTGCTATATCAATGTCATGCCCATATGTAATAAATGCCACATGAGCAAAATTAACCACATATCTACATATTTCATGGTCAATTATATCATATGCATATAATCACCAAACTTTATCACAATGTTAATATATCAATAAACATATATCAACATTTTATTTCCAATAACATATCCCAAGCGCGTTATCACATAATATATGACAATAACACACTTCATTCATAAAGGCATAATATAAACACATAGCATGCCCACATAACACCGATTTCCATGTAATCACACAAGTAATTACCATATACCAATTCCAAGCTAGGAATTTATTTTAAACCATTTCTATACCCATTTCTCAATTTCAAAACCTAGGCAAGTGATATATAACTCTATCAATCTACCCATCTCATATAAGATTCTAGGTTAGGAAATAAACTAAAGTAGGAAGGAACCCTACCTCCTAAAGCATAAAACGACGTCAAGAAGCTTCAAGACTCCAAAATAAGTTTGAATCCTCACTTCCCCAAAATTCAGTCCTTGGAATCTCACCCAAACCCGACCCCTTTGGTATGATTTTTGTAGCTCTTGGCAAGGCGAACAATTTTTGTTCTTGGCTCGTGTTGATTCGAGCGAAGCTTGGCCCTAGATCACAAGAAGAGCTTAAGAAACCCTTATTTCTCCCTCTTTTTCTCTCTCTTTTTCTATCGTTCAACCGGCTGAGCACAATGGGGGAGAAAATCAGATTTTTCCCCTATTTATACCCTCTAATTGCTTGGCTCACAATACGCCACACGACCCTCTTTTTTTCAGGTCCGTTTTCGCCATAAAATGATTAAATTTTGCTCCGATTTAAGTTCAAAATATTTTTATTTTAAATTGTCTCAAATTATTTTCTAATTTTCAAAATTTTATTAAAAATCTCATTTTTGGGTCACCTGAGACTCGATCGCCTCTTAAAACGCGACAAATCCAACTATCTCAAAATTCGATGAAATTTTACAGGATAACTATATTTCGCAAGACAAATCCAATGGTGAGGTCCGTTTCGTCGTCCCATGTCTAGAAAATTTTAGATTTTTAACTCGTACCATAGTGACAAATTATCATTTTGCCCTTTTTTTTTTTTTTATAAAAGTTCAAGTTTACATGGGTTTTATATGCACAACTCCCATCAACAGTTAATACCCACCACACCACTCTCATTCTCTCTCACCTCTCACCTTGCACCTCGCGTTCCTTTGTTAGAAGAAGACCTAGGCAACCAGATCCCCTTTCTCCTTCCTCTCCCCAATTGCTCCTCTAT